TGCTCTAAAGTTTTGTTCTCGGGGATCATGTCCTACTTCAAAAGAGGTAAAGCATGTTGATAGACTGCATATCTTAGGTTCTTTGGCCTGCTAATTTTTGGCGACTTGGTTGGAGACTAATTGGGATTCAATCTCGGCTTTCAATATGAAGGCTCTCATTTCTAGGGATAGAACGATGCTGACAATGAAAGCCCCATACTCCACCTGCTTGTTGTTGGCCTTGAATTTAAGCTCCGATGATTTTTTGAATATTATGTCATCGGGTTCTTCTGAGATTATTCCTGTATCACTTCCCTTCATGTTCGAGGCATCATCGACTAATAATGTCCATTTTGGGGGTCGTCTCTTTATCCACTAGAAAGGCCATAAAATATGACTGAGTTTGGGATTTGATGCTTCATCTCGGGGCGTACTGGATATTGTATTCTGAGAGTTCTACTACCCAAGATGTCATTCTTCCTATCAGATCTGGTTTTTTCAAGACTTATCGAACATGATAGTTAGTTTTTACGAGGATTTTGTGACGCTGGAAAATAAGGTTGAAGCTTTCTCGTTGCAATAATGAAGGCCAGTGATAGCTTCTGATCTTCTGATAACATATTTTGGTGCTTTTAACACTTTATTGACGAAATACACATGCCTTTCTATCTTGTCTATTTCTTGGATGTGTATTGAGCTCGTCACTTGATATATGGTTGCATAAGAGAGGAAGCGAGATAGGGAGGCAAGGCATCCAATAAGCCAAGATAAGTCGCTCATCGGCTTATTTTGCACTCCCTGGTCCACTAAAACCTTAATTTCTTCTTCAAGTCACGAAGAAGAGAAAAGCCTTATCGCCTCACAAGAGAGGAAGTGAGATATTGCGACAAGATGGCCAATAAGTCGTTGCACCTCCTTGACATTGGTGTGGCTTCTCATATCGATGACCACCTGACACTTATGTGGTTTTTCTTCAATTCCTCTCTTTGTTTTCATGAATCCAAGGAACTTTCCATATTAATCCTTGAAAGAGCATTTGACGGGGTTCAGGCACACGTTGTACTTCTTTACCGATTCCAGGATATCCTCTAAGTTCGCGACATGACTTTTCCCTTTGGTGGTTTTCAATATAGTATCGTCAACATAGACCTCCAGGTTTTACCCTATTTGGTGGGAGAACACAAAGTTCGTGAGTGCCTGGTAGGCGGAGTTAGTGCTCTTAAAGCTAAAGGGAATGACATTATAGTAGTAGTTATCATGATTCGACATGAAGACTATCTTGGGAGCATCCAATGAATCCATCTGAATATGGTTGTGCCTAGAGCATGCCTCCATAAAGCTCAATATGTGTTAGCCTGAGGAAGCCTCAATCAGGCGATCAATATCTGACGATGGATATGGATCCTTAGGATAGGAAGTATTAAAATTAGTGAAGTCCAAACACATGTGCCACTTATTTTCTATTTTCCTCACCAGTACCATGTCGGATAGCCAGGTTGGATATTTTTTTCTATGATGAATTTAGCGTTGGATAGCTTGTCTGCCTCCTCATCAATGGTGGTTCTCTTCTCATTGCTAACTTTTGTTTCCTTTGTGGCCAATGGCTTGGCAGAAGGGTTGACTACGAGGTGATGGCACACCACTCTGGTGTTTATCCCTGACATGTCATAAGGGATCTGGTGAGCAAGTTGACGTTTCTAATGAGTTTGTCAACTAACATGTGTTCTTCTTCCTCAATAAGCAATGTGCCTATCTTCGTTACCTGGGGGGTTGAAGGGCCTATCTTAACTTCCTTCAAGCCCTTTGTGGGTGTGAGCCTCTCGTTGTCCATGCAAAGCCTGGGATCCCAAGAATCATTATCTCCATCTGGCGCCTTAGGGAGGAGGGAACCTCAAGGTCAATCTCTTTTCATTCCTCCATGAGGTTGCTTTGATAACACTCTTGGGCTCTTTGATGGTCTCCTCAAATTGACTTGGCTCGTCCCCTAGGTAGCGAGTACTTCAGGACCAGGTAATGGGTGGGAATAACCCCCCTAACACATTGATGGTAGGTCATCCTAGAATGATATTGTAGGGTGACATGGTGTTTACTATGAGACATCTAACTTTAATATCCTTAAAGTCTTATCCCTCACTGCAAGTTGTCTCTAGGGTTATGTGGCCCGTTACTTGCACCTGCTCACTTGAAAACCTTACTAATGAACCCTTGAATACTTTGATATCGTTGGGATCGAGATGAAGATTCTTAAAAGTATCCCAAAATAGGATGTCACTAGAACTCTCGGGATCTATCTGGACTCGCTTGATATCTCAATTGACATATTATATACTAATGATCATGGGTTCGTTGTTGTGGGGGAGGGTTCCGACAACGTCACTGCTAGAAAAGGTGATGTTGATCCCTGATTCCCCTTGTTCCACCATGGAGAACCCATGGGATATTACATTTGCGGTTAACAACTGCCTGACGTATTTCCTCTATGAGGTGTTGGAACTTCCTCCATTTGAAAAACCCCTAGCTATAGTGTTAACCATGGAGTATGGAGTTTTATTGGCCATCTTTTCTGAATATGGATATGATGATGATGAAAGAGGTGTGGCCCAGGTTAATTTTACCAGGACTCTATGGTGGATGTCATTGTATTTGTCAAAAAGTACATGTGTGTATGATATCCCTACGGGGGTGTGGGATAACTAGAGGCTTTTATAGTTAATGGTTGTTAGTGCTTACCCATAACGGTAAGAGACCCTGTTTGGTGGTGTTTTTTGCTACAGAGAGAGCAATTTCACGTGAAGTGAGAAGCTCTATATTTTATGTATGTATATTGAGGGTGTACTGATATGTCTCATTACCTTTAAGGGGTAAGGTATTTATAGAGGCTCTTGGGTCTAGGATTTTCTTGGGAATGATAATCATCCAATTTCTCAATGATGGATCATTGAATCACTATTTCATAAGGGGACATGGATAATTTTGATAACTCTAACTTCCCTTTGACTGAGGCATTTCTTTACCCATATTTCCCATGATTTGGCGAGTAGGGGATACTTAAGGCAAGACAGTTCCTAAAGGAGGGCGACTTACAGATGTCGCTTATCCTAAGGAGCACAACTCTCCCGCTTTTATTAGGTCCTTTAAAAATATATCACTACACAGTCCCTCAAGCACAAGGGCTTGAATTAAGGGCGGAGTGCTTTTAAACTAAAGGGAAAAGTGCTTTTAAAAATATCTCACTACAGGCGTTCCCTCTTTTGAGGACCATAATCTCCCGTTTTTATTAGGTCATTTACAAATATATCACTAAAAATTGCTTGAATCTTCAATTTCTACAATCCAAAATTATTGTCTTTAGAAAACTGCCTAATCTTTGATTTAGAATCCATGGTACTCACTTGTAAACAAAACCCTTTTTCTCGACGGTGGATGTCACTCGTGAAAACTCTAACAATAATAATTAATTTGTTGATAAGTTTAAACATATCAAACTCTCGTTGAAATTTAACCTTAACATTAAATTCGTCAAGAATAAAGATTTGGGGACAAAGAACAATGACAGTCAAAATAAATAGCCTCAAGCAACCAAAATAACCTATAACTAGTGTAAGCAATACTTCACTGCAAGCAAGAAGAAGATAAAAAATACAAGAAAACCAAGAAATTCATTTACCCGATTCAATCAAACCAATCTACAATGGAGAAAATAATAGTTCTTATTACAAAAAAAAAAAAAAATAGTCATCTAAGTTTGCAATAACAAACCATATTTTAAGTTCACTTGTTTCTCATTCTCTCTAATTCCCTATAAAAGAATCACACAAGTCCAAAGTGTTTAGAATTATTTTTCTAATCCCATTAGATACCTCTAAAGATTTCTCAAATTATAAAAATACAATTATAAAGATACATGTTTTTAAATGTTGAAACTCATTAGATCCATAACAATACCAAAACACGACTCATTAACAAACAAATTCGCTAACAGAAACAACCAAGTCCAATAGTCGTAAATTGCTTGGACCGAACCTATTACTCGAGCACCATGCACCACCGCCATCTTGCGGCTCTAGCCCTTTATGACTTTTGTTTGTTGATTTTTAAATTATTACAAACGATAATCTTTAAAGATCTTAAAATATATTATACTTCTCTTTATCACTTAAGATTTTAATCATTTACAATAAAAATATGGATTTTTTTATACAACTCAAAATTTTAAGAATAAAAATGGAGTGATCTCTCTTATAGATTCTAACACTCACCTTGCAAGGAAAAAACAAATGCTTACAAATTATATATATATATATATATATATATATATATATATATATATATATATATATATATATATATATATTGGTTCTTTCAATAACAAAATAAATGGAATTCTTGTGTGTTAATTTTTGAAACAACTTTGACAACAACAAAAAATGGAGATATAAGTAAGATGGGATTTAGAGAGTCCAAAAAAAAACAGAGAGAGAGAGAGAATCTCCGAGGTAAAAATTGGTGAATCTATCACTCAAACAAAAAGTCAGCTTTTAAGGGTAATTAAGTAATTTCACTAACTAAAAAACTACTATAAAACCCACAGTCCTATGCTCTGAAAACTTTAGCCACAGAAAACACCCAGTTGCAGACCGACACACACCACAAAATCCCGCCGGAAAACCCATCTCCGGTGACCATCGTCCTCCCTAACTCCGGCAAACCCTTGAAGTTCGAAACTGAAGCAAAGAGCAGACCACCGGAAGCGGTGGTTTTGATCTTACTGTGCATGATGGGATCTTGCATATGTCCGTTAGAAACTCCGGCGAGGTTGCTCTGGACAACTAGTTTCTTCCGTCATAAGTTAATGATCTTTTAATCCATTCCCAACAAAGATAATTCAATAAAAATACCAACTTTGAATTAGAATTAGAATTTGAAAGAAACAAAGAATCGTTTCTGGTTCTGAAAAATTGTAAAAAGTGAAATTTTAGCATACCCTTTAACGTGAAGTTTGAATCTTTGAAGTTGAAAAAATGGAGTCTGGTCGTCTTTACTTTGATACCTCTACTTGCCGTGGTAACAACAACATGAACATGCTCTTCCTTGGAAATGCTGATCTTGGTTTTCGAGGTGATTTTCTCTGCTTTTTTCCAATATGTTGATTTTTTTATATTGATTTTTATCGTGCCCTTTTGTTTAGTTTGGATGAATTGTGTGTTTGGATTGTGGGAAATTTAGGAACAGAAAAAAGTTGCTATTTTTGGTAAGAAAAAAGTTGGGTTTTTGGTAAAGGAAGAAACTTGGTTGAGTATTTGAATTGGGTTGTGAGAAATAATGAATTAGGGATTGGGGTTTTGATTTGTGATATAGATGCTTTGATAGTATTTGATGTAGAAAAGCGTGTAATTGATGAGGTTTTTAATGTTTTTGAATTTTGTTATGAAATGAAAGTAGGAAGGTCAATGATGAGCATGGAGGAAGGCTCGAAGAGGAGACCTTTTTTCAGCTCGCCGGATGAACTGTATGATGAGGAGTATTACGAGGAACAGTCGCCGGAGAAGAAGCGCCGCCTCACTTCCGAGCAGGTTGGTTGGTTTGCCGGAATAAGTTTGTATTGGTGTTGGTTTTTTCATTATGTTGAAGTTCTATCAATGGCAGAAATCATATTAAATTTTGTGAATCTTTGTTATGATATGAATTTAGCTTTTAATGCAATTTGATGAAAAATGAAGGGTTGACTTTCAATTGAAATTTGATTTTTTAGCTATCAAATTATTGATTTTGAAACCATTGATTTATTAATGTTTGTCTAGATGGAGGGTTCAGATCATGTCTAATGATCAAAAAATTTCAGGAGAAACCAATTCGACTTATTGAATATAATAATATGAGTCTCTCGCTTCTACTGAAATATTTTGGTCACTGAAGAAGAATTGAAGTCGTAGATTGTACTGATCATCAACAAGACTAATATTCGTTTTTGTGGATAAATGTGTGTTTTGATGAATAGGTCCATCTATTGGAAAAGAGCTTTGAAGAAGAGAACAAACTTGAGCCAGAGAGGAAAACTCAATTGGCCAAGAAGCTAGGGTTGCAACCTAGACAGGTGGCTGTATGGTTTCAGAACCGTAGGGCTAGATGGAAGACAAAACAACTTGAAAGAGATTATGATGTTCTTAAGTCTTCCTATGAGTCCCTTCTTTCAACATATGATTCCATTGTCAAGGAGAATGAGAAACTCAAATCTGAGGTACTTATATACATGCTTACCATTCAAAAATTAAATCGAGTTTGATTTGTATACGCCGCTGTCACTAGCATCATTTGTGTGACTTTAGAAGTAGCTATGATTAAAATCATACCGTAACATAAGAAAATTTGCGCGCTGACCTATATTAAAGTGTATTACTATTAATAGTTAGATTTGGTTATGCTAAATATGCAAACTGGGAATTTGGGGAACTCTACAATGATGAGGATTATGCATAAAAAAAGGTAAAGAATAGAATATAAATTGTCTGTCAAAAGTTGTTGGTTTGAGTTTCTGTATGAGATAGAATTAGTGGCTTTACAATCAGAACTCCATCATAAGAAGCAAATTTCCACTTACCATAGAAGGTGATTGGGAGCTATCAAAAGAGGTCCTACACATAAGATTCTACACTAAAATAATCACATACTATCAAAACTTAGCATCTGTTCTGAACCCCACCTGGTTTGAAATGAAGGCCTTTTCAAAGTAACTATGCGAATATACTTTATTAGATTACTCAAAATATGCTTAAGACTTCATTTTGTGATAAAGACTGATGAATTTTTTAAGAGAATGTATGTAAGGTGGACCATAAAATAGTTAACAAGTGAATATTGAAGTTTGGATTATCTTGCTAAGTTACAACTAACATGTTGACCATATTTACTTCTCAGGTGGTTTGCTTAAATGAGAAGTTTCAAGTTCAAGGTAAGGATATGCTTGAAGAGCCTTTGTCGGAGAAGAAAGTCGATCCACTTCCGGTGGATATCACTCAGATTTTCGGCATGAAGTTGGATGAACACGTGAGTTCCGGAAGCGTTGGAAGCGCGGTGGTGGACGAGGGTAGTCCTCGTGTTGTTATTGACAGTGTTGATTCGTACTTTCCAGCTGACGACTATGGTGGATGTGTGGCCCCTATCGAAAGAGTTCAATCAGAGGAAGATGATGGAAGTGATGATGGGAGGTGTTGTTTTGATGTGTTTGTTACATCTGAAACTGAGCAACAAAACCATGAAGGAGAAGGGTTGAATTGGTGGGGTAATATGTATTATGTTGCATGATGCAACATTGCTTTCTTATTAAGTTACATAAGAAAGAGAAAGAACGCTGTATAATTAGAGATGCATCATGTAATTTGGACGCATACGATATGTCCCTAAGCCAAGCTTAGTAAATAAAAAGTCCAGTAATTTGCTGATTGGCATCCTGTATTGTATTTTCAAATTTACAATAAAGTATTGAAGTTAAAACCTAAAGTTAAGTGTGTGGTTGGGTGTACATTTAAGTTCTCCCTCTGATTTTACTTTTTATTTCAAGTAAATAATTTCTCTATATCAACCGGTTAATCTTCTTCACTCATTCATTCCCTTTTCTACAAAACAGACAATCACTCATTCTCTTATCTACTAAAGAGAAACTCAACAAAAGATATTCAGGACCATTTAGCTATCATGGTCGAAAAATAATTAGTTATATTTTACTGTGATTTCATGTTAAAAACTTCAAACATGTTTTCTGACATAAATTCAAACATGTGATTTCATGTTTTCTTACCTAACGACTTTGCAGTGGATCGATCAATAGAAGTTCGTTATGTATTTACTCATAAGAAATCTTAGTTAATAAATTTCATTTCGATGGTAGAACTCCCAAAGCAATTCTAGTGAACAAGTACAGAAAACATATAGAAACCATCCAACTTACAACCCATAAATCAAAATAGTTATGCACAATCTACATTCAGCTCTTTGATAGGACAAAAAATGAAAGCATGCTGTTAAAATAACATAACAGACGCAGGGAGAAGAATTATACCCGACCAAGAAGAGAGTAGAACTATGGAAACATATGCATATAAAGAAATCAAACAATACTTCGCATGAGCTAGGTTAGTCCAAAAATGCGGATGGAAAAATGCATTGACACTAAAATTTCCCCTGCATTCTAACACATCAGCAATGCCCAAAGACAAAATCAAGGGCATGCGTGTGCAGGACTTTTTTGGGGGTGAAAGAGAGAATGTATAAAGAATGAAATATTTCCTACAACTGCTCAACTTAACATTATCCGACTTCCATATTTTTTAGCTTCTTTTCTTCTATTTCTTCTTTACATTAATTCCACTTGTATACATTTATGGATCAGAATCTGCTAGAAAAATGAAAAATATAATATAACACTTCTCGGTATGGAGCAACCAATTGCACAGCTGCAGCAAAAACCATTTCAAAATTGCACGCATTGTTATAATTCCTTCTTACTGGTGCCCTCACTCAAAGCAGATAATCCTACATATTCTACATATAGCCAAAAACGAGCATTTCGAGTTAGTAGGTCAGCTTTACCTATATGTACAAGAAGCGTGCAAATGACACCAGCACTGCGGCTTCCCCCCTTTAATAACCTGAAGTTGGCCCCGTGACCTTTTCATCCAAAATCTTGCAACTTTGGATGGTCATATCAGACCACAATAAGTGGACCAGCTTTCTGATTTTCTCAGGCAAGAACACGTTATGAGATTAACTATCTGATTCCTTTCTTTTCCTGTTTGACTTCCGGCTTGCTTTGGTTTTATCTGCATCCACGGTGATCACCAGTTTCTGTTCTGCTACGGCAGGAGGATCGGAGCTGTCAGTTAAACTTGAATTGGGCATTTTCTCATACATAATGGCAGAATCAAGAGAGTATATTCGAAGAGCAAGGGAAGGCAAAGTAGAAGATTTGGCAGCAGCTGAGAATGATGACCAGTACCACCAGTCATTCCTTAAGAATTCCGTCTTAATCATATCCTCCAGCGCAATTGTTGCCTGAATCATCTGAGAAATCAGAAGAAACTTTAATCAACATACGCAAGATTAGTTTAATCTGTAACTTACTTGGATTAGAAAAATAGCATAATAAGAGTTTAAGTTTGAGTACACATAGAACATCTAGTTCTTGTTGATTTGGAGTAAATGTGCAATGGGAAGTTAATTAGTCAAAAAAGTACTATCAAACGAGATTTAACATAGTACTCAGCAAGCTGCGCTGAAGTACTGAAATTATAAGGAATGAAATGTATCACGCGTGCTTTGAAATATCTGATGGCCCATTGATGGAGAAATATATAATTCAGAGTCACATAAGACAAACCTCATATATAGTCTGAGCAGATTTTACAAATGCACGCCAAGCCTGTCTTCTGTCCAACTGTGCCCTCGATGGTCTTATAGCAACTTCTGGAAGTGCAGCGTCCATATCAAGTAGATTAATTTTTAGTTGCCTCAAGATATGAGAAACTTTACCAACTAGTGGTCTCAAAGACGACGAAGGAACCACGCAGCAGCCATAGACTCCCATATCTGAAACTGAATTAGAAAAAGATAACTTTCCATCTCTTTGCTCTCCTAATTTACTGGATTTTCCTGTTTCATTGCTTTCATTTGCAGCTAAACTCTGAGTGGGTTTTCCTGATTCGTGGCATATGCCAGCACCATCAGTGTTTTCCTGAGAAACCCGGCTTTCTGAAACATTAGAGGCACCACCAACAATGCCGTCGCCCTTTAGGGATAAGAATAGCGTAAAATCACTAACAAAGGGAGATACAGAAGGAATAAATGATGGCACACCATCTGAAGCAATTAGACCAATTTCTCTGACAAGTTTCTTGTTGGAATCATCTGTCTCAAACTTTGAGCATACAGCTTCAAAATTAAAAGGGCAAGAGGAACCTTCATTTGAAAACTTAATCAAATTCAAACTTAGCTTGGAACATTTATTGATTGAGTTTCCAGCTGTTTCTGCATAAGCTCTGGATTTTTCATGTGAGGTATCACATTTCAAGTTCCCTCTTCCTTTAGAAGATCCATTTTTATCTTTATTCTTCTCCAAGGCCAGAAGTTCTGCACTACATTTGCCATCATTGTGTACCTCAAATTCAACATCAGTCAAAAAGGTTTTGTGGCAATACAAACAATGTTTCCTAGAAGGCCAGATGGGTTCTAGGCATTCACACCTACACAACTTTTCATCAGTAGTTGTTCTGTTCTTTTTACTTTGCTCCTTCACTACCTCTGCATTATCCAACTCAAAGTAGGGACTGTAATTCTTTTCCAGCAAGGAAGTGGCCTTTGTAACAAGAGAATTAGATGGTGAACTTCTTGGCACTTGATCATCAACCTGACATTCAGTGTGTGCATTAACGAACTCTTGAAGTTTATGTTTTGGCGCCAGCATAATCGAATCTCTCAGCTCTTTTTCTTTAGGATCATTATCTGTTAACCAACCCAATAGCTCTTCGATTTCTGAATCTGTTTCATAAGCAATCCACGGTGAACTATTGCCTGAAGCATTAAGTGGTAAAGAACTCAAAGGAGAGCAGTCCTTCATCAGCCCTAACATCTTATAGTTATCCTTCTCACATAATGCCCAATGCTGCCGAGCAGAAAATTTATCGACAAAATCTTTGCTAGCTGACAGTCCTTTTCTATGCTGAAGAACAGCACTTGCATCAACAACTATACGTGAACGTTTACTGGGTGTACCCAAAGCCCAGTATAGTCGACCAATGGAATCAATACCTAAAAATTCCCGGCGAACAGGGACCTTTGACAGCTGTGATCCTATGCTAGTTATAGAGTCCTGCAATAGCGAAATATTATGCTTGATGGCATTGAGCTCGAGGTGGTATGGTTCCAACTCATTCACGGCATTTTGGGAAATTTCAACAGGCACGCATTGTCCCTGCTGCTGGTATGACGCAGAAGTAGATACATCCCTTACCTCACATTTCTGGTGTATACCCTGAATATGAGTTGCTCCACTGTAACCATTTATTCCTTGGGGCATGTGATTTGGGGATGGAAAATACTTGGGGGATTTATCTGTACAAGGAGACTCCACAACCACATGAACAGTCCTAAGTTGTCCTTCTATGGAATTCATATTTTGGCTATCAGAATCTGAATGTGTCACGGATATGCTTTTATCAACACTATTGAACCTAGACTTCTCTTTAGGAATCTCTTCTGAAGGTAGACTGTCAACAAATACCCCAAGACCATTAGGATTGGAGGTTGCAGTATGTGGCTTAAAAAGACATTTACTTGTATTTGAGAACACGGATGTGAACCCGTCCTTAAGAACAACTTCCCCATTGGTACTTTGTGACAGTAACTCAAATTTTGCAGCTTTTGTGGATAAAACATCTTCCTTAATTTTCAGGTTTTTCCACTCCACAGAGAGTGCACGCAATTTCTGATGTAACTCAACAGATGACTCTGCACACTGCTCAAGATGCTGTCGTATCAGGGAAGAGCTGAGCAACTCACCACATAAAAACTTGAGAAGGAGCATTCTCTGCAACCATTAAAAAAAAACATTAGCAAATATCAAAAGAGAAGATGCAGTATAAGCAACATGCCATCATTAATCAAGTTGCATGCAACAGAACATTTTCAACTAGATAATAGTAGTCAAATCAAGCATCATAACAATGTTTATAATAGTTCAACTAAAAAATGAGTTTATGCTTAGTGAGCAATATTTGATGATGGAAAACCCTTATAGAAAAAAAAGGATGCTTCGTACCGACGGGAATCAGGATATAAAAACCAGCCATTGGAAAAGTCAATGGACAATATAGATTAAAACAATCCTGTTAAAATTCAGTCAGTTGACCGCAATTCCCCATTACCAAAAGAAAAAATCGTAGTAGCACATATGTAGGAAAATATAACAAAGATCCAGTGCAGAATAGAAGACCATACTGCCAGTATAATAAAAAGGTTTATATGCATTAACCGGTGAAAGTATAAGGAAACATAAATAGGTGTCCATCAACAAACCTCTCCCACACTGTACTCCCAATATTCTTTTTCTTCCATTACAGCCGATAAATGAGTTAGTGCTTCCAAATAAAGACAGATAACTTCTCCCTGGAATTTTTTACTACCACGTTTTCTAGTAATCTTTGCAGGTTCCGTAACATCTTGTGTTGAATGTTTACCACCAATGCAAGATGGACAGTACCAATTTCCTTCAGGGATCCTTACAAGTGGAGGATTCAAGCAATATTTATGATACTCAGCATCACAAGTATCACATAGTAAAACACTGTCATCGTCCCTATCAACGCCACATACTTTACAAACTCCCTCATCCCAAGGGGCCTTCGGAATATCATTTGTTGATGCAATGAAAACATCAACTTCTTTTTTCATTTCTGCACTTAAGCATCCCACTTTAGCATACTCTGCAAACTTTTGGACATAGGTGACAACCTGTACCCAAGCAAGACATGTAAATGTTAAATTAATAATTGAGAGAAAGATACTGATTATATGTATGCACCATCAAGGTACCAACCTCCTCATCGTATAAAAGTTCAAAATTCTGGGATAATTTGTCCGCAAGTTCAACTAAATCCGGTTGATCCCCAAAAGCAACACGAACATTGCTCCACAACTGCAACATCAAATTAGTGCCCTCCAATTTTCAAAAAGTAATATATACTATAAGAGTGACTTGCATCTAGTAGAAAACATATTAGAGGCCAGTATTTGAGTTTTGAAAGAAACAAACAATGTTTCTCCTTGATCCATGTACTCAAATGGGACACAAGCAAACATAAAAACACTAAAAAAAATAGCCTTTACAAAGAGAAAAAGCATACCATAATAATAGCAGAGAAATTTGGAGCTTAAAAGGGAAGGGTAATCTAAAGAAAATATTTAGCAGACTGCTTGTTTAGGCAGTCTTAGTTTGATAGGTCGCATACCTCACGAACATCCTCAAGAAAAGCTTCATGAGATCCATCATAAGCTCCAGAAGCCAATCTTAGATCAATAGTTCGGAAATCAAGAGGCCGGGCCACCATAGCTGGAGATCCAAGAAGCCCTTCGTCGTCGTTATCAGAAGAATTTACTAATTTTCTTCCCAACAAATTGCAAAAAACTTTTGAATCATCTGCCGCAGCTGCACGGCGTAATACAATGCGGCATTGCTTCATAATAATGTCAGAAATAGATAAAACAATCTTCTTTTTCCTTTCCTTGTTGGTATTCAGCTGCACTCCATTAGTTACCTCATTCAACACTGAAAGAACTGCTTTCTGTTTATAAACAACAAGGAAATCCAACTCAGGGTCGTGCTTCATTAAAAAACCATGCAAATTAAGAACATAGAATTTCAACCACATGATCTATCACATTTAATAAAAAGAATAACATGAAGCTTTTAGTTTTGTCAGTATACATTTGATGATCTGAACAGTTTGAAGTATGAAACTGAATTTCTGTAATGACGGGAAGAAATAAGTCTGTGTTGACTATCCATATGGTTAAGACTTCTTAAACACTTCCATTAGATACCATGTGTGTGTATCACGATATCTTGATATTGTAATAGGTGACGACAAAAGGGGTAATACAAAATACTTTACAGGGTTTTCTCGAATGCATGTGGAGTGATAGCTACAAATTACAAGATCGCTTGCATATCACAGCATACAAAACAAACACTAGAAGGTAATAAACAACTATGCTAATATGCAATGCAAAGTATATGGTGAAACCATGTCATCAGCGCAACCAGGCAACAAAAATAGTAGTTTCACACTAGTCTTAATCCTTTTTTCACACTAAAAGAGAAGTGTCACTGAAGAGCACCTTTGTTGGTCCAGATGCATTGCCCTTGTACACGGCCTTACTAATTGAGTGTTCCAGTATTTTCTTCGCCCAATCTGGCGGATTCTTATCTAAAGCATCATTAACACACTTTCTGATTCGGGTTCCCACATTTGTTGGTAGCTTTCTGACAGGTTCCAGCACCTGTGCCCATTCAGGAATTTTCCCATCATTCGCCAATTTCATCTCAGAAGCATCCTTTGCATCAGACTCGTTTTCTTCCATGATGAGTACATCATTTTCTCTGCTCAAGGAACCAAAAATCTTTGCTGTTGCCTCCGCAAGCAACTGAGAGCAAAATTTTAAATATTAAAAAAAATAAAATAAAATAAAATAAGCTTCAGTGCTACTTCTATCACTTCTTTCAGTTTATATACTTAGTCTAGAAAATTTCAAACAGCCGCAAGGCATATAACCTAAAGGCAATGTATAACACATGGAAGATACTTCCATAAATCAAATAGCAATATAAAACCTGCACTCAAGCCGTACAATTCAAACCTGAAGTGAGTAAAGCTAAAACTAGTTAAAATGCCTATACCGGTCCACCACATGTGCCAGTTCATATAAGGAAAAGTGAGAGTGAGGAACTCAGACAGTACAATATTTTGACAAGCATTTATGAACATCATGTTTGCTTAAGCATAATGAATTGAGTTGTAATGACAAATTAAGTTACATCAAGACCCATATATTAGCGCACTGTGAAGAGAGAGAGTATCTAATCATATTAGACAAGGTCAAAATTAAATTTGTCCATCATGTCTTGAGACAAAATAAAATCTAAGCTCTTACCAGTGCGTCAATTTCCATTCCAGCCACACCAGTAAGGGACCCACACAGCAAACCACCATCACCTCGTAAGCAACGAAATACTTTACCACTTTCACGGGCAGTAATTTCTGCAGACTCGAGGTTACCATCCATAGATAAGAAAGCCAAGATATATCTACGAGCTAGTTCTGGCCATGTCAATTCATTAATAGGAAGCATATTGACTTTAGTTCGTTTGGCAGGAACTGCACTATCTATATCTTTCCTTCTTCCTCGTCTACCCCGAGTCTCTCCAGGTTCAGAATTTGGATCCACCAGAGCAGCCACCTTTGATTGCAGTTCACCTATTAGCACTCTTAGTAATGAATTGTGGGCCCTGGTCAATGCAACACCAAAGCATCTAACATAGGTGAAAGAAGCGAGCTTAACTTGGGCTTCCTCTTTCATAGCTTCTGTTTCCACTTGAATAAAAGAACATTCTGTGGAACCTGATGGACCAGCTTCACTTATTAGTCGGAAATCATCATTACCCCCTTGTGAATATGAAACTTGATTTCTACCCATTCCCCTCTCCAGTTTCTCAGGGAACTCTAATTCATCAAACCATGGGTTGATAAGTTCCTTCTCAAGCTCCTCCAATAACAAAGGTTCTTTCAGGTCTAGAATTTCATGAAATCGATCTAAATGCTCCCAAACCTGAAAAACAGAAACAAAAAAAAAAAATGCAGGACTGTGCATCATAGCAACTGAAAAATAAAAACAAAGAATGTAAAAGTGTAAAATAAAGATATGAGTTTCACTACATACAGGTACATATATACCTCAAAAATGTCACCAATGAGTTCAGTAGGAGCCCTAGAGCACAGTGGTTTCCCAGGAGGTGGACATCGGTCTTCCTTAACAAAACTTTCAGTCAATCTTGCCTTCTTATGCCTTCTATATAAACCTTGAACAGCTGCTGCTTCATCTTGATATTTTGATTGACCTTTACATTCGACCACTAGGAAACCATTTTCCACTGTTGGTAATGAAGAGCTATTAGTTCTACTACTCAAAAGTTCATATTGCAAAGAATCCTGCACACCGGGAAGCTGTTCCAATACTTCTTGCACAAATTCAACATCCAATCCAAATCTATCCTGCTCCAACCATTTTCCTAACAGCTCATAGAGACCTGTCGGATCACTGTCTGCATAAAGTGTATTTGGAATACTGACAAACCCAGGATAACCACAAAATTTATCCATCGAAGGGAAGTGGGTATCACTTTTTCCATTCCTTAAATCCCATTTATGTAAGCCCATTTCACTTACAACATGTTTACAATATAATTTAAGATTTCCTTTCTTCTTGCAGATATCCTTGCAAGCACTGACTAACTTTTGAGAAATAAGTTTCCATGCAAAGATTGGGGACCGCTCTTCAACCAAAACTTCACCAATTTCATCACCAAAATCCATATCATCAGCAAATGAATTTCCAATATTATCTTGAACTGAACCAGCAACTGGCCTTAATCCTTCTGATGCATATGCTTCATTTGAGCAACTGGTAACACAACTTAAGATGTCATTTTCTGTTGGGGCACAAGGTTCTAAAAGGATCATTTGGATACTTTCGTCACCATCGAAATCCATACTATCATTAGTCTCTCTCTGAAATTCATTGGTTTCGCTTACAAATTGACAATGACTTTGCATTGAAAGGATGGTTGACCCATCTGGAATAGGAAATTTTGAACATGAACACCTTTTAATCCTAAATATAGGTCCAGAATCACCACCATCCAAAACTTGGCACATAAAAAGAGAGCCAGTAATCTTGTCATGCCAGGAAGACTCATAACCCACAGGAAAGGTAAGGTTAACATCATAATATGAAGGTCTCCCATCAACTTTTCCCAAAGAAAGAACATAGAAGTCCTTAAACTGCAGAGGAAGTCCATCCTGAAATATATTTAAAAGAAACAAAAAAAAAAAATCAGGCAGGAATAGCTAATTTTACTTTCACTGTAAGAATTCATGAACATTATGTATTAGTGTTTGAAAAAACAAAACCAAACAATCTCCATAACATAACAAGTGGAGATATCAATTAGATTCACTTACAGCGAATTGATCAGGGTCAGTGTGACTGTTCTCTTTTCTTCCAATCTCAGTGGCTTTTGGGATAGACCCCTGAGCATTAGCACATTCCATAATTAAACCATCAGAAGAACAATCCTTATAATTACTATTGATCATGGTTCCCTGCTTTTCTGCATAACCATTGGCTGTCAGAGTTCTAGAAGACTTCCGTTTTCTGGATATGTGAGGCCCACCTAAAGAAAGAGACATTTCGTTTTTTATTTCAGATTCCATGGAATTGTAGCCAGACGGTAGCCCCAGATAATTAGCTACTTCATACACAGAATCAAATATCTTTCCATCGGGGGCACAATAAACTGCATAGAGGTCAGGGCTGATCATTGATTGTCTAAGTTCCACTCGCCAACCTTCCTCCAGTACACCATGCCTTTCAGATATAAAATCTCTAAGAGCCAGCAAAATTGACTCATTTGGACTTTGAGATGGTACTTCCTCAAACCTTCTAGCCATTGCTTGGGTGTGATTCAATATATCCTCAAAACCCACTCTAACAGCGTGTGTCATAACTCCAGATGCCCTTTGCAAGCCAAACACACTCCCGTTGTAGAAGGTTGAATATGTCACTGGATCACCAAATTGATTGGTACCAAAAGATTTATCACCCATCGTGTGCTTTCTAAAACCAAAGTGAATGTAAACAGTGACTACTTATAACAACGGGGAATCATGAAACTAAAATTATCACCTTAACAAATGAAAAGAGACAGACGGAATAGTTTCAAGCTTATAATAATACAAAGTAAACCAAAAATCGTCAATTGGAAAACAAGCTAAACAAAGCATTGCAGTGTTTAACTAAACATAGCATGTAACAGGTCAAACATCAAGAACATCAGTAATATGACAATGCATGCTTAAGCTTGCTTAATAATGCTATGCTGAAATCAATCTCAGAGTTACAATCTAATAACTGGGAACATGAACATATGAAGTTTGTTTTAAATGTATTGAGTAATTTGAAACAGGAAAAGTGCAAGCCACTTGGCAAGCCTGTTAAAAGATACACAAGTAGATAATATTGTTAAACACATCTATGATGGCGTGGACATGAACTGCCAGTCAAATGCCATATTGCAAACTACTTGTTATTGAAGGCTGAATGACCCACTTAATGGGATCAAGCTTGGCTGTGGTTGCTGTTGAAGGCAAAATGAGTAGTGACCATGTGGTAGGATTTGATCTGATACAGAGAGGCACAGTGCCAGCTCCAGCAACACTTACGCATGAAAAAAATCAACCATGAAATAGCAGTCTGCCAATAAATGAAAGGGTACAAAGAATAGGTAACTAGAGTGTTTTGCATTTGCAAGCTTGATACACAGGAGAACTAGCCCTTTTTAAAAATTTAAAAAAAAAACTATAAAAAGGTCTTAGACTTTCCATATCAAAGTGAAAACTCAGCCTAAATTATTTTAGAGGAACTCTAAATCTATATAAGATATCTGGAATTGAGTATGATATCGGAATTGATACTGGGCCTATAATTCCAATTTCAATTTCTGTTTGAAGATCCTTTTAGAGCTTGAATCATAATTTCAAACAACAATTCTATGGTGTTACAGAATACCTAGCCCCGGAACTTTGAAATTCTTAACCAACACCCTAAAGATTGTCAATCCCAAGTTAATGAAACTGAGTGCAACACAAAAAACAGAAGATGTGCTGTCTCTTATGCTCCTTTAAAGTAACTTCACCTTTATTGGCAGAAAAACTAACTTTACTAGTGCACTGGGACTACAAAGATTAACTGTGCCATTTCCATACATCATGGCTGCTGCTGCTGCAGTGGTGTCGTAGGTACCCAACTAGAGTCTCACTCATATATCACAGAATACTGAATCTCTGCCGTCCATTTTCCCCATGGTATTCTATCATGTGCCACAAAACTTCCTGTGGCTGGTCAAAAAGAGCCTTCCCACTCACCAGCAGCAAATCACTTTCCAGAATAACAGGTGGCAAAAGAGACAGTTTAGCAGCAGGCCACGTGTCAATCTGGTTGGCATAGCACTTAACTCACTTACAGGGGAGCACTCCCTTTCTTCGTCAACAGTGGAAATAATGGCTCACTAATAAATCATTCCATTATGGATATGAAAAGAGAAAGCCACTTTGGACAAATAATGGCTCACTAATCCATCATTATGTATCCAAAACTTTCTACCCTATTTCTTTGCACAACCCACATATAAAACTTGTGATTCTGATGTCTTAATCGATTCCATTTCTAATAAAAATATGAACTACAATTCCAGTTCCGCAATCAAAATAAACCATTCAAAATCCATGAAAAGTCCCCCACCCAAACTGTAATTTTATTCTTCACACCAATTCTCTGATTTCAAAAGAACAAAATAACATAATAAAATACTACTCTAAACTCACCACATTAGCCTACAAACATTACAACAAGGAAGGAAAAAAGAAATCTAGAGGTGCATTTGATTTGATATTTAATGCTTTCAAAAGAAGAAAAAAGTTACACTAGAAAACTTATTTGATTGCATTCAAGGTCACTAATCCCAAATATATCTTAAAGAACTAAAAGTCGAAAACAAGTTATAGATCTTAAACATACAAGTGAACAATCACAGAAGTCAAAGAAACAAACAACTTTAAGCTTCAAAAAATGATGAGATAAAAAAAAAACCTGCTGGACGCTGACCAACAGAGAAACAGAGATAAAGGTAGCCGGAGAGCACAGTAACTAGAACGTCGTCAGAAAGCTTGAAGGTCGGATAGCTGCGGAGTACAATTGACAAGAGGTACTTACAAACTGAGATAAGGGTGTTCTCAGTTTATAATGTGTGTTCATATTTAAAACCCTAGTTTTCTGAACCAAAAATCCTAAACTAACCCATACCTACCTCTGAAACCCTAAAATCTAAGGGTATTTCTGGGTTTTCAAGCACTTTCAGATACGCGCCAACTGCCACAATAGCAGACGTGAGGCTAACGACACTGAAATGTAATATGACATAGCATAGACTTCCGTAACGACACATTGCTGTGATCACGGCGCAGCCTAACTCTCGGGTCGCATTTAAATAGAAATATTTTTTAAAATGGGACGAAAACTTATATAGAAACAAATATTTGAAAATTTGGAGGCAACTACATAATTATTATAAAAAACTATTATAGCTCAGATGACATTGGTCTTAGTCTCAACAGGGACGGCTGTGATTACATTGAAACAGATTCGATTTAATTCTTCATTGGGAACCAATTCACCCTTCGCTACCCGGTGGCTAACATTTTCTATAATCTAAGCCAAAATCCCGCCATACCAGCCACTTTGAGGGGCCGTTATAGTGGAAAAACCCGCAGTATCGGCCAATATTTTCTGCGAGTCCAAAAACTGCCGTATATATCCGCTATAGCAGAAATGGCGCCGCTATTTGATAACACTGATCCAAAGAAAATGTCATCTATCTCAAGGAGAACTTCCTCAAAATTGACTTATTAACTAACCTAAACAAGTGTTCTAAGCTTTAAAAAACTCAAAACTAAAAAATAAACCAGGGTAAGCATAAAAATAACACAAGTTTCGAACACAGCAGCAACACATTAATATATCCACATACATTCTTCCATTCCATCTCAAAACTTCTTAATTCTATGAATGATATTAAGTTAATAACATACTAACATTACTTCTATATATCCAAATTCAAATCTTACAGCAACAAAAGAAAAACATGTAAAAGAGTTTAACTATAAGAGTGCATGAGTTTTCATACCTCGCATCATGCAACTCTTCTCCGTCAACATCACTAGGCGGAGAAGCATTGATATCAAGAAGCTGCTTCGACTTCACACCCAACGGCCACCGTTTACTCTTCACACCACCAGCCGAACACTCACCACAAACCCACTCTCCTAGACTCGCAGCAACCTGCCGACCACCGCCACCTCGAATCCCGGCGCAAGCCAAGTGAAAACTCCGCTCACAGCCGTCACAGACTAAGCAATTACCATCTCCGCCTCCGCCGGGCTTAGCACAGACGGCGCATGAAGTACTACCACCGGGGAGAGCTGCGGGACCACCGGGAGGTGGCGGTGGATTTTCGTGGTAGGTACGAACGATGTCGATGGTGAGGTCAGGTAGGGTTTCAAGGAATGAGGAGGAAGGAGAAGGGATCTCGTTTAGGTCGATGCATAAGATTGAACGAGTATCTTGGAGGTTGTTGTGCGGCGGTTGCTGCGGCGGCAGAAGCGGGAGGTTGTTGAGGTTAGCCGCGGAGGATTCGGTGAGTTCCATGATCATCGGAAAGAAGAGAGTGAATGAGTTAAGAACGAGTTAGGGATTGTGAGTTGTAACATTGTACGAATCGGAGAGATTGTGAAGAGAGATACGGATCGAAAGGGTAACTGAGATTGAAACAGAGGTTTTGTGTGTGTGTGTGTGAGAGAGAGAGAGAGAGAGAGAGAGAGAGGGGTTTTTAGAGAGAGAAAATCAGAAAAGGGAAAGACAGGGATGGGACCGTATCTGTATCGAAGCCTAAACTCGTAAATCACTTTCTCACTTTCTATTCTCTCTCTTCTTTTACAGTACTTGTTTTTTTTCTTTTAATTATTTTCTGTTTTGTCTTATAAAATCGTAATTATTAATTACTAGAAGTTTTAAAAAATGGACTTATACTAGGATATAAAATTGGTTAACTAATCCAAATATTTGGGCTTCAATAATAAAGAAATTCCTGTTAAAAATTCAATTTAAAAAATATCAGATTTGATTTTTAGATGTGAATAATATTTGATCAATATTTGTATTTTTCAGTACGAACTCTGAATTATTAAAAAAAAATTCAATAAATTAGTAAGTCGTTTTTATAAATCAAAAAATTTTATACACTAAAAGACATGTAAAAATTGCACAAGTGATTCAATTATAGTTTTGATTTAGTTTGAATAATTTAATTGTATGTTTGATTGTACTTTAATTTTTTGTGATGATTTGTTTGAAATTAAGTAAGAATAGTTTGATTGTATTAGTTTCTTGTTACCCACCATATTTAGTAAATATGATACATGTACATGTCTCACATCCGTATGAATATCCGTTAGACGGATATATGTAGATTTTGAGATATCTGTGGGTATATACAGGTATTTATGGATATTTTTATTTATTTTTAAAGTATATAATAAATTAAAAAATTTATCCTTTTTAAAGACAACAAAATAGTTTCAAATTTAACACATAATAATAATAATAATAATAATAATAATAATAATAATAATAATAATAATAATAACAAAAATAAATCACATTCATTTTATTTCTTCTTTTTATAAATAATTATATTATGCTCAACAAAATAATAATAATAATAATAATAATAATAATAATAATAATAATAATAATTTTAGATAAAAATATTTAAGTAATTTTGTTAATTATTAACGGATACGGATACTCGTGAGTACGAGTACTATCCAATCCATATTTGTACCCGTAAGTAAACGGGTAAGTAAATATCCATTTATTTTAGGCTTAAATGCACTTTTAGTCCCTCTAGTTTAGAGTTTCTAAAGAAGTAGTCTCCCTATTAAAAAATCAGCGAATTTGTCATTTTATTTAGCATGTCTTGGCATCTAGTTGGTCCCCCACCCATTTTAGATTATGTGTCATATATTTTAATAAGGTGGTATTATAACAATATATCCATGTCACCATTATAGTATATTTTATTAATTAATTCAATTGTTTAATTAAAATTATGTTATTAATTGAAAATAACAATATTTTAATTGAAATTAAAATTAATATAACTTTCAGGTTCTTTATAAAAAAATCTAATCCTTTTTCATTCACTCATTGCATCCCTAATCTTCGTTTGCCACTGTTCATTGTCTTCCTCACGAATCCTTCATCCTCACACGTCCCATCAGTTTGACTTTAGCCATGGCAACAGATCTTCAAGTCATTTGCGGTATGTTTGCAAGTGTGGTCTTGATGCTCCGTTGATGACGGCATGAATGAATGTGAACTCGGATCGTCGTTTCTATGGATGTGGCATGTATAAGGTATGAATCATTTTGTTATTCTTCCCTTGTAATTAGTCTGGATATTCATTCATCTTTGTCTTCGTTGGTCTGAACATATACAAGGATACAAAAAATGCACACATTTTGCTTGGTTGGACGAGGAGATGAATCCTAGGGCAAAAGAGTTAATATATGCACTATTAAGAACTTGAATGAGGAGAAGGATATGGTAAAAACCTACAAAGAAAAGGAAGCCGAATTGAAGATGATGGTTAAGATCATGAAGAAGCAATTGAAGATTAATTGGATATTGTTTTTGTCATGTTGTTTGCATTTGTTGGAACAATATTGATGAAATAGGGTATATTTCAGTAGGTTTTATTTTGTGTAATAGTGTAACTGTTAAGTCTGTTGTTATGTAATGGTGTAATGGTTAAGTTTGTTGTTGTGTCATGGTGTGATGATTAGGTCTTTTGACAATAATGTGCCTTATAATAGAATTTTATTGTTGTGCCTTATAACAGAATTTTGACTCTTATTTGACACAATTTGGATATCTGTAACTTGACTCCATTTTGTCAGTAATGTGCCTTATAACAGAATTTTGTAATCAATATAATAACACCAATATTCAGCCTTATAACAGGATATTGTAACCAATATAATAACACCAGTATACATACCATAATATCATAACACATTAATAGAGTACAACCAGATTAATACAGGAAAAAAATTTGACCTGTAATGTGACAACCAAAATAGAGTACAACCATATACCATAAGTCATTAATAGAGTACAACTAAAATAAGACTTGTTTTCATACACTTGTTTTCATATACCTAGTACAACTAAAATAACACTCAAGACACAACTTGATTCAAAATATACTTAGACCTAAAATACACTACTCTTGAGTTGGCTGAGGAGCTTGTGAACTTTGACCAATTTCTACTTGCTTCCCATGGGTAACTTTCTTGGACTTAGCCACCTTCTTAGCTTTATTCCCGCCCTTTGGAATTTCCATATCTGCTGCCTTTTACCTTTACAGCTCCTCTTGTTATTTCCCATATCACCACATTTTGCACAAGTGATAGTGGAAAACCTCCTTAGCGGTATGTGTGGATTCTTAGGTTCCTCTTTTGTTTTGTTCCTCTGTTTTTTCGGCCTTCATATTGCTTTTCTCATAACTGGTGGTTCCAATTTATTCTGGTCATCCACATGCCACAATTATGGTCCATTAGTTGAATACACAATATGGGAGTATGTCTCTGTAAAAGTTGATTTCCTGTAACACATAATAACAGTCAACAGCTAACAGTTAACACACCATAAAATGCAGTTGACACACTATAAAATGCAGTTAACAGTCAAACCTATAACATCCAGCAACATAATCCTCAGGCTTTTTCTTGATGTTCCAAATGCATGCAATTACATGGCTGCAAGGTATGCCAGTCAATTCCCACACCCTACATGGGCAAGTTTCCTTCTTAATATCAACACAGTAAGTGTCATTGCCATTTGGTACACCAAATATGGATAGGTCATCATCACCATTCCATGTAGGACTCCACCATTATGCTTCCTTCTTATATTTCTCAATTACCAGCTGGATTTTAGGACATATTGCCCATGTGTAGTCCTGAATCATCTCCTTCTGACTTGCAATCCTCTTTGTGATGTAATGTTTGATGCCTTCCAATAGGGTGATAATGGGTTTCTCCCTTGCATCTAAAACTGACTTATTGAATGCCTCACACATGTTTTTGACTTGTAAATCACACTTTGAATAAGTGTTGAAGTGTGATTTACTCCAATGGCTAACAGGTATATCCACCATATCTTTCCAAGCTTCCTCTTTCATTTTCAGCATTGCCTTTTCCCATGCAGGTATTGTTGTTGCTCTAGCAGCTTCCCAAAGTACTTTCTTGAATGCCAACACAAAGTGTCTCTTTTTCCAATTACCACATAGATGCTTAACACACAACCTGCACTCTACATTGGCACTAATGCCTTGAACAGATGGAACAAGTCCATGTAACAATATAACAACTGTTAGTGTAAAATGTATAATGTAAACAAATTTGTTAGTGTAAAATGCATAATGTAAACAAATCAATATTATCTTTTGTTGGTCTGATATAAATGCGTAGGACCTCTGATTGTAACCTTCTAAATCAAAGAAGGAGGTCCAAAAACTATTGCCATGAGTCCTTTGTTTCAGCTTCTACTACAGCATATGCTATTGGAAAAACCTGGTTATTACCATCCCTCCCTACTGCTGCATTTAAATGTCCACCATAATATCCTTTTAGGAAGCATTCATCTAAACCAATCAATGGCCTACATGTGTGTATGCAAAAGCTGCCTTGCAAGTCTCTAAACAAATATAAATCCTTTTAAACACATGCAACCCGTTATTATCAGTACACTGTATTACAACAGTACTATTGGGATTGGATTTCAATACATCTTGTCCATAAGATATTAAATGAGAGAATTGCTCAATACCAGATGTTGTACCCCAAAATTTTCCATCTCACTTATCAAGAATTTGCTCACAAGATCTCCTTTGGCTCAAGACTGCACTAAGGTTGATCAGCTCAGGACACCTCTTTAAGCATTGATGACCAAAATTAGGGTTTGAGATTTCACAAGGATTTTTTAACTTCCAATACCCCATATGACTTTCATGGATCATTATGGACCCTCAAGATCACTCATGTCAAGTTTCAAGCTTTGGATCACACTTTTGCTCAGTCAATTGAGCATTTGACCTAAAAGTCAGTTGTATTGGGGAAAAAGTCAACCATGGCCAATTTACAGTCAAACTTTATAATTTTTTATCCACATCAACATTTTAGACTCATATATATCATTTGATCAAGTTTGAACCACAATTCCCCAAGAAATTTGATCAAATCTCCAAAAGGGCAAAATGGTCAAAATTAGGGTTTTGACTGGGAAAGGGCAATTTCTGATTTTTGACCTAGCAAATGATCAATTGGTTTAAGGCATGATCTCAAGATTCCAATTTCATCATTTTGACCTAATTACATGGCTCAAAACATTGCTCAAGACCAATGGATTGACATATGAATTTTCAGTTAACTGATAAAAGTCAACTGTATACTGAAAAGTCAAACTTTGACTTTTTGGTCAAGTTCAAATTCCAAAGATCAAAATTCATCAAAACATGTCAAAATATGAAACTTATTCATCAATAAATTAAAAATTCAAGATTTCATTTTGAAAAGTTAAAATTTCTAAAC